TGACCTTTCAGCCATGCCTGGCTAACAATACAGAAGTTACAACGATGTGGCACACGTGCACTCATGTTACTTTATCCAATAATATAAAACTGACCTTTAGTCTCTACAAAGTGACTTGTCTTGGCTGTGTTTTAGTGGACTAATATTTTGTAACATACAGTCACATTTCAATTATTATACATTATATATGTATATAGATTATTACAATTTACAAATAAGTTCTTAAACTTATTTTTCTTAAAACATAGAACAGTAAATAAAGAAGTAAATCAAACAATTATCTCTTCTAGTTCCAACCTTTGTACTTGGTTGCTGCTTTTGTTGTTTGCTAAGTCTTTAGAAATTTCGCACATGGAGGATGTGAAACGAAATAATTTTTTTTTTAGGTTTTGTGTATACATTTGAATAACCAAAAAATCATAAATTACTATATCAATACCACAGAACTCAATCATAATTTATCAAGCTTGAGCTGTATTTGGGTCTAAAAAAATATGAAACTTCGAGCAGACTGAAGACACAACCTAACTCCTTGAAATTTTGGTTCAAAAGAATGAGATGGTGTCCTAACACTTTAAAATGGCTGAGAAAGCCACTAGGGGGATATTCTGAGCTTACACAAGTCATATATTGAAGCAAGTGTATATAATGAACCCTTTCCAAAAATGGAAAGAGGTGAGCGGGGCCATTGTGTTTGATTCAGTAAGCGATATCTCAGCAAACAGAAAAATAGGAGGTTTTTATTTCATATTCTAGCTTGTCATTATCAGTAATTTGAGTTCCTTATTCATACAAAACTACAGACTTAGTTATTTTGACATCACAAACATCTAATTTAAACCAATAGACACACAAAAAAAATCGATGTTTAAGTTTTTTTTAATATTTACTTTTAAATTAAGAAATTGAATAATGTATAATACTAAAATTTGAATTATAATCTACAGTTTGATACCAAACTGAATGACATAAATTCATAAAATTGTAGTTCAATAAAATTTTGAATGGGAGTCAACAAAGGCGATGGCATGGCCTTTGATCCGGTGACCCATGTGGAAAGGGTTAATCACAACTACTGTTAATTTGCGAGTTATTTACCTGTTTAAATGCCAATGAAGTTTTGTGTTTACTGGCAACCTTATGAAATTATTAAAGTTTATCCTGCCCTGTAATTCAATAAAATATGTTGCAATAACCCACCATCAATAATAGATAACAATTAATTTATTTTTTAAACTGTTATTTCACAAGTTTATCAATAAATACCAACCCCAACCTTTTAAATCTGTTATGTTCTGTATTTACTCTTCAAGTATGACTAAAACTAATTCGTAGTTCTTACAAGAAATTTCCTGGTAAATATGACCAGAAAGAGAGAGAAATTATTCATACAGGTACCCAATTATATTAAATTAACTCTGAAATATTCAAGTTGTTAATTAGTGTGATATGATCTAATGCACCAACATATTTCATTTTGGGATAAATGATACACTGAGATAAAAATTAATGTTAGGCAAATATATATATATATATATACTATTCTTATTAAAGTAATCAACAAAAAAATGATTTAAAGTTCCTATCTTGCACAATAGCTCTTCTTCAAAAACTGCTGAGTTTATAAAACAAATAATAATTAATTAACCAATTAAACAATGAACTTCACAACAACCCATGCAAATCATGTCAAGATGTAAATAATGAGGGATAAAGGAAAACATGCACATGATAAAAACTCAAAAGCAAAACCAATGACACTTTTTACTTTTAAAAAATAAGTACATCTCAAAAGATGTAAAATGTCCACATCTTGAATAAAAGAACATGCATAAGAATTGAAATTTACCCACAAAACCAGTTGCATTTTAATTCCAACTCTTCCAAGTATCTCTACTAAAACTGTATGTTTTTTCCCCTAACATAAAAATAGAAAAAGGATGACAAAGCAACCAAAACCTTTGAGTACGAGCATAGTTTCATTTGTATTAAAATACCTTTTTGGGATCTTGTTTCCATCCTTCCAAAATACACAATTTATCCTGATATAAAAAATATAGCTACAGACAACAAATATTTTTTTAAATACAGAAAAACTTAAAATGATTACAATTTGAAATATACCATTTTATAAACATATGTTTATCTAATTAAATTTAAATCATTTATAGGTCATTAATAACTTTCAATATTATGTATTTAAAGTTAATAAATAATGCACACAAAGAGTTAACAAAATAGCTAAAACTGGAATGTGTTTTTATTAGATTTAAGAAAAGTAAAACTTTTCATTGCTAACTGTAAATACTTGAGTTGTGGCTATTCTAATTCTCTTCACAAAAAATAAACTGAAAACATTTTAACACTTTTCAGCCAAGTGGCATGACTCTGCAGCCACTTTTGCATGTGGATTCATAAAAACTAATAGTACATAAATTAAACCATATTTGAGGAAGATACTTCAAACATAAATTATGATAATCATTACATGCTTTTGAATGTGAATGAGATATTCTGATAAACTTACAATTTATAATAAAATAAAAAACCACTACATGATGTAGCTGTATACTATGGTGTTATGCAATATGCTTGCAACCATTGACTTGATAGCCATGTTTCACCTACGGTTATCTTCTAAACTATTATTTGATAAAAGTCTGTGTTTGTTTGTCCACTTATAAGTAACAAACCAGCAGCCTACTTGTACCCTGGCATGTACTCTTAGAGTTCCCATGTACGTCAGCTAGTTAGCAATATCACAAGCACAGGCCTAATGACATCACCTACAAGCCTACTATGTCAAAAATTATTTTTTAATAAAATATATATTGTTGGAATTAAAACATAAATAAAAATAATATCTATTTTTCTATATCTCATTTATAAAAGTTAAGTCTGTATTCCTTTCAGAAATTATGTATAACTTTCATGAAGACCCCCAATTACTCTCTAAGCCAATGTCAAGGCAAAGTACATCATAAGACTTTAGAATTTTAAACTACAAGTTTAAGCTTTTGTAAAGCAAAAAAGGACTGTCAAAGTAATTACTTCAACAAATTAAACAAACAAGCAGCAAAAAACAATAAAATTATTAAAACCATGATATGGTTAGGTTATTTGACGTCAAACAATCAAGGAAGGTTTCTGACCTATTAACTAGAAGTTTACAAATTCAGAATATATATATATTCTTCCTTATATATATATAAAAGGAAGAAAAAGAGTTCTACAGCAAATAGATTGAAGGAAGAATAAATATAGCTTTCAGGTGTTATATTTATGATGTGTGATGTTTGTTGTAAAGATTAACAGCTTTATAAGGCCAAAGTGAACAATGAAGAATATAAAAAATTTACAAAAATATGAAGATACTAACCTGAGTAATTTCAATGTACCATGTGCATCATTTTCAAGTGCATAATAATGCATATGGTACACACACACAAAAGTAATTAACTACGTATTTTTGTTTGTTCTTCATTGCTCAATTTCTGCTTATAAAGTTGATAATCTTTGCAACATTTGTAGATGGTACAAAGTACTACATAACTTGATGTCTGATGTTTGTCTGTTTATTGTAGAACAAAACCACATTGGGCTATTTGCTGTGTCCACTAGCATATTGTAAGTCTGTAGACTCATTGCTGTCCCACTGGGGGATGTTACATTTATGACTTTGTTAGCTAAAAGCTTGAAAGCTGTAAAACAAAACATGCATTCTATTGAATTTTTTACCTTTTGACACAACTTAAAAAATTCACCATTTTGAAACTATATAAGCTAGAAGCAAATAAAAATTATGTAAAAAGACCAATAAATTTGCAGTTTTGTTTCATAAGGTGACCAATTTTACCTATGGGAATTTTAGATATTTTACAAAAAATAAAAATTACATCTTGAGGGGAGGGAGGACTGAAAGAAGGGTTAGCAATTTAGATTTATTTTTATTACATCATTTTCAAATATTAATAACACGTACATCAATATCAAATTCTAACTTGTAAAATTTCAATTACAGATTCATTTTGTATGAAATTTATAGGAAGAGAACATACAAGAATTTTATGAAAATTAGTGTTGTCATTTGCACTTGTAAAACACGAGATACTGGGCTGGAAGGGGGTTACGCTCTCTATTTATAATTCAGGGGAAGTCACTTTAAAAATTTCTGGTTTCCATATAATTAAACCAGTTCCTCTCAAGATCTACTTCGGAAGGCAACTTACATATTCTTTATGTTTATTATTTCTCTTTGACATTGACTACTTGATTCCTGGTGTAAAAGCTTCATGAGTACCATGCCTCGCTGAAAGTGTCCTGATGAGTAACTGATGTTAACTGCAGTTTCTCCTTTATCCCCAGTCAGCACCCAAACCTGGGCAAGTAAAGAAAAAAGGAAAATAATTTTAATTATCATACTGTCGGTTAAGTTTACAGTTAAGGTTTTAGCTTAAAGATGATTTCAGTTAAAAATCAGAAGTACTCACCACAAGTTAACTGATTGAAAAATATCATTTTAAAAAAATACAAAGACCAAACTTGGCTTACACTGAAACCATGTAAACATTATTTACTGATATGTGATTTCAATCATGAAACTAAATAAAAGCCATTTACTATATAAAAACTAATATCTAGTAACAATTTCAAAAATCTAACCAATTAACAATTAGACTTAGGTGATCGTATTGACTAAAAACCATGACAATGACTGATATCTAATTGCCACAACCTTTAACATTTTAACCTCAAAGTAAACATCAGAGTTTCCATAAAATAACTTTTAATATGTACCTTCACACAATTTGGCAAACTTTAGTATATATTTCAAGTCTTTTATATATACAAAAAAATAAAATATTTAAGTATTTTTACTGAATTTTTGTTGAGAAATATATAGTCAAAGTAATGACTGATCGAACTGCAAAGTGATTTTCACATTAAGATTAAAAATACTTTTCTTCATTCAAAACTTTTAAAGTTTCATTTAATCTAACCTCCTCCTAAATAAACATAACTTTTTTTTTCAGTAAAGAGTGTTTTATCTGATATTTTATCTACCCTAACTCTATACGACTTGGTCAATTTGATCAAGTTTGTAACTAAGAAAAAAAAATAAAATCTAAATTACTCTTTTTCTGTTTCTAGAATGACTGCAAATTGTAATAAGAAACATCATTTGCTTATTCTAAATAGCTTAACATTCATAACAGTTGACATCTGTTTCTAATTAATTTCATTGTTTTATTGCCCTTTGAACTGTATCTAACTAATAATCCTGCCACACAAGTTGTAAAACACTCAGTACGCACACAGCTCACATTACTGTATTGAATGATGTAAAACATGAGCTACTGGTGAGTATACTTTGAGGAGAATATTTATTATTTTCTCCATTATCTTACCTAATAAGATTATAATTTTTACATTTTAGTTAGTTTTATAACAATAAATACACAATGTACATGAAAAACATGAAATATGCTACTTTCTTTTAACCTCTCATTTTTTTTTTCTGTCAGTTGCCAATGAAATTTAAGCCCACTTTTTCTTCTTCTTTATACTAATGGTACTAGCACAATAAATAATTTTTATTTAATTAAATAATGCACCTAAGAAAAAAGAATAGTAATACACACATAGCAAAAAATGTCCTATAATTATCATTATTTAACTGGCTTTTTATTTATGGCATAAAACCCTGAAAATTATTCATTGAGCTTCTCAGTTTTGAAAATCCCTAATTGAAAATCATCTTAAAGTCTGTCCAACTAGTATCACTTTACTTGTTTGTGTATCTTTTATTGCAGCATTTATTTTGTTTTGGATACTTCTTATAGCAATTCTATGAATAACCAACTATCCCTATTTTCAATAAAAATTTTATTATATTTTTTTCTTTGTTCAGTTTTTATATGTCCATGGAATGGACACAACATTATAAACCTTCAGTATAGCCATATCCCTGGTAGATATATCTTTTACAAGAATTAAAGCCACAATTACAAATTTATAAAATTTAATCCTTACTTTGGCCTATAGATAAGTGTATAAAGCTGCCAGAGTAGGGATTAATTTTTATAAATTTGTGATTGTGGTTTTAATTCTTGTTTCATTACTTTTTGCAGCAGGATCCCTACTTCATTTTAAAATTCATAATTATTTAATAATCTAGTTTGTTTATTTTTTTAACTTATACCTGTATAAAGTAAATACCTTTTTTTTTTTTTACCTTTACACAATACATTAATAGTGCTAGAAACTGTATAAGCTTGATCAAAGCTTTGAGAAAAATAAAAACCTAAAGCTTGTTTATTACAATTGGAAAACATTTAAAAACTGTAGGATTCTACTATACCTTGATACCGGCAGCCCTTAGGGCAGCTAACGTTTCACAAACGCCTTCCTGTAGTTTATCTTCTACACCAGTAGCTCCCAACAGTGTCAGATTCCTTTCTATTTCATTAATGACTTTTGATACCTAAAAGTAACAAAAAATTTGTTGACTTAAAAAACTATTTCTACACACATCATCATCTATCAGAAAAAAGAAGATAATTTTCCAAAATTTAGTACTAATATTTTACACTGACTTACTTTATTCTCCCTATCTGTCATTTCAGTTCGGGCTTTTCTAATTTTTTTATCAAATATATGAAACTCCTCTTCTGAGAGCTCTCTCTGTGCAATAACCATTGTTCGCAACCCTTCCTAAAATAAAAAAAATTTACATACAATTTAAACCCCCATAAATGTTCATAAAATGACTTTAGCTTCCCATTACACAAATAAAATAAATACAAAAATACACTCCAATGAACATCTGAGATAAAAAAAAAAAAGATAGAAATCTTACATCTGTTGTTTCAATCTTTATTTAAATCATCAAGTTTTTGGTCTAACGTGTGAGATTATTTTACTTAACAAACTATGTTAAATTTATATTTATTGGTGTTATTGTTGGAAGCTACATTTTCTATGTTTTAATTTATTTGTTAGCTCGAGAAAGACACAAGGTAAAGATCCAGTAAATTCAACCAGAACTTAGATGAGTATATTAGAGATAAATTCGAGTATGCAAATTATTTCATTTAGTGTGAGTTAAATTGAAGTATTTATCGATAAGTTATTGCATCTATTCTGTTGTTCATTTACTTGGTGAGTTGCATATTTGTTTATCTAACAAACGTATTTAAATTAGGCATATGTTGAAACATTGTATTTGAGGTTAGGCCTACACTTATTTATGGAGTTAGTGTTGAAAAGTAGTTTGTATCTAGGCCTACAATTTGTGTAAATGTGAACATAGCCTATTGTAGAAACATTCTAGAAGAATTAAACTCATGTTTTACCCTTAGATATACTGGACTGTGCTTTATTTTCATCAAATAATTAAAATAATTCTGCCCAATAAAAGAACACATTGCAGCAGTATATACAATAAATGTTGATACTGTATTGATAACACTTAACTCAATAACGAAGTACATTTCGAGTTATTTCACTTACATGACTTACACAACATTTGTAAGAAATTATCAAATACTTTATTCGCAACTTTAAAAAATTACTTTACTTGTTATATTTTTCATAATCATTAAAATAAGCCACTGCATCAAATTACAACATGTAAATGCGTGAAAAATTTAAAGATAACATTCCACAGAAAATGTTTTCAGAAAAGCTAACAAAACAATAGCAATGTCTTCCAATATTATACCAACATCTCTAAAGTGAAAACTATGTATTGTTACAAATGAGAGTCCTCCAATCCATAAAAACCAATACAAAGATACTGAGCCAGTCTGGTAACATTAATAAGATAATAAAATAATATTTAAGACTTACAAAACAAAGGTTCATAAGCTTCTAGCCAAACCTCAATATCAATTACTTCATTAGAAAAAATGGTTAAATAAACTATGCATAATTAAAGCAATTACATTTGACCACACACCTTGGAAGCTGACATACATCTACAAATGAATGTATGTCAAAATATATGGTCTAAAATTGATATGCTAAGGAAATAAAGAACGTAGCAAGAGAAAATACTTTTACAGTGACGATTGTGAGAAATAACTTAATTTTTGTATCAGCAAGTAGTTTAAGAGTTATGTACAATTGCATAAAAAAGTGTTTCATGGAAATTTAGTGTAAAATTACATTGTTACTATTTTTTATGCCATTTTGCACTCCCTTACAGAAGTAAAATACTTATACTCCATCTGTTACACCTTTATTTATGTTTGTTTACTCCTTTAAGGAATAATTTTTCTCCTCTTCTTAAAATGGAAATTGCTTTGTTCAGCAATAGTGCATAACGACAGCCATTACATTACATTGGGAATGACTGAAAATGGAAGCTCTACTTTTAAGGACACTAGGGGAACTGGAAAATTGTTCTTATAATGTGCAATTTCTCCTCAATATAAAGTGCATATAGCATTGTTATTTAATAATTTTTGGTGCCCAGGCAGTGAAAGTGGGTTTTACTTGGGGCACTCCTGTTCACTCCTCCCAACAAATTTATTGAATCCCATAGCACAAGTGGGATGAAAGGAAATTTTTTAATTTCGAAGCACCCTAGGTCTTCAAATACAATAATTAGTATTCAATTACAGATCTCAACCACGATGATGATTTAATAATTAGTATTCAATTACAGATCCCTACCACGACAATGAGTGAATAATTAGTATTCAACTACTATGCATGTGAAAGAAAATCCTTTATTATAGTCAAACATAAATGTTACAATATGTGAAAAAACTTAAATAATAAATTCATCTGATTGCAGTATACCAATTAACGGCTATAATTACAAACTTACCATGGCATAATCATTTATGTGCTGTAAGGTAACATCTACTGGTCCTGAAATACATTTACTAAGTAATGCAGATTCAGCTCCCTTGCAAAACAAAAATATTCTCCCTGAAATTGCAAACATAGATAGTAAGTTCAAAAACTGATAACAAGTCTTCTTTTTTAAATACCATACATAAAACTGACATTTACACAATGACTACATTATTAATAAAAATAGTGTTAAAAGGAATTTTTATAGCATAAATAGTTAAATAAGGAAAATGTTTTTACAAATTTGGTCATTTGACTTCAGTTGTAAAAGATTTACAAAGTTACTAATGAAAAACAGACACTTAATAAAACTACTGTTACATCTAAAATACTTCAGCTTTTATTAATAAAAGGAGAACTAATAATTAATGTCAGTTATTCACTTTTTGACAGGAAAGGTGTTTCTGAAACTTCCCTACAACCAAAAGTAACATAATCCATGACAAACTACTTATTATTGCATCAGCAGCAACAAATTCTAACTGTTAATTGCAATGAATAAGATAAGTATTATACCTGAAAACAATATTAATATTTTCTATGGACCTTAACTATAATAATAACAAATGTGATATATTTTAACATTCTAGTAATAGAAACAAATGAACTTTTACCTCTTAACTCAAACCAACTGTATTTGAGAGTTGTAAAGTGTAACATAAAATAACTTGAATACAAAAATTCCCATTTAATTAATACTGTATACTACTGTATAAATGGTGTTTGAACAAGGGCTAAGAAGTGTATGTAGAATTTATAGTAATGTTTTCCATTATGGCAGAAATGTTCAGCTGTTTAGGAAAAATAGCAACAGCCAAAAAGAAAACTATATACTATGCATGTTTTATTAGTCCCCTATAACAATCTCAAGTAATTCCATGTTGAAACAAATTTATTAGATTTTCCCAAGATGTAATGAAAAACTGATATGTTTTATTGCACATAAAGTTTTGCATGAAGTTGTTACTTTAATAACAACATTATGAAATAAACTTTTTTTAAAAGAACTATGTAGCCTGTGAGTCATCTGTAAATAACACAAGCCTATTGAAATTCATTATGTAGTAGGTTTTGTTTGTAATTAAGCACAAAGCTACACAATGGGCCATCTGTGCTCTGCCCACCATGGGTATCGAAACCCGGATTCTAGTGTTGTAAGTCTGCAGACATACCGCTGTGCCACTGGGGGGCTATGTAGTAGGTAAATATATAGTTAGATAATTCAATATGCAATACTAAGCATATACTATTTATATAAATACAGATGTGATTAAAAAATCAGTTTAATACAAAATGTTAATATTAGTCATGTGGAAGAAATACTTAATTTCAAGATGCTCATTAAGTAAATGAACATAAGTTCTTGTCTTATGATATACTTCTTGTAAGTCTTACAATAACATTGTACCAGTTTTTAAATAGACATTTCAAAGATTAACAGCTAACAAAGTTAAATTTCTCAATGGAAATTTTTTTTTCAGCTGGGCAACACCAGTTAAAATAAAAAAAAACACATTGTTTTTTTCTTTTCAATTAAAAAATGGAAATATCTTACCGTCTTCAGTTTTAACTATCACAGACATACATTTCCTGTTAGAATCAAACTCCAACACATGAAGTCTCTTGAGCTTTCTTCTCTTCTTTTGGAATGTCACAACACAGTTATCCTCAACAAAACCATGAAGAATAACTCCAAACCTGATATCACACAGAGGTAGGTTCTCAGATATACAGCTTTAAACTTTGTACTACTAATGTAGCAAAGTATGCTTCTTTTTGTACTATGATTTCTTTTAAAAATTTATATCGCTACTCTTAACACTTGTTTTAACAATACTTATTTGCTTGTAAACAAAATAACTTCTTTATCAGTCATTACTCCGAGTTAAGTGATAATAAAATAATATTTGTATGTGTTTGCAAATGAAGCCTTAAAAAACTGAAAGGACTGGCCCAGATTTTAATTTAACCCTATCACCACAGGTATCCTTCACTGCATAAGACACAAGGTTTTAATGTCTTACATTCAAAATTTTATTAAACTACTTTTTTTTTATGTTATACCAATTAGAATAGCATAAAATCTTTGCTAATAATTCATATTTTAATAGTATACAAGTTTTAAGTTCTTAATTCTACAAGGCAATATTAAAAAAAATCCCGAATTTCCACTAATGTGACCCACGTAACACATTTTCTCTTAGCATGTCATCATCCCTATTTTATCCACCACCCCACAAAAAAGTAGGAAATTAAATGTACATTACTCTCTATAAAATTGTTATTGCTCAGACAAACCATAATTTTTATAATATAGAAAATCAGACCCCTCCTGCCACACCCTCTTTCAGAATTCTTTGATAGTTCTCTCTTATGTCTCATTATATATTTCCCATGACCAACAGAAAGTCAAGATTTTCATCTATCAAATAACGTACTGTATAACATTATGTTCTAAACAGTTAGATGTCAATTTCAATCAGAGTACCAACATCATTCCTATAGGAAAGTTAATAAATAGCTTGGATGACTTTGTGATGGCTCTTGTCACATAGTTAGAAAGCCAGAAAAATTTTGAGAGGTAAGGGAATTTGTCTATTTTTTGCATGTTATTAGTCTATATTCTTTGGTGCATTATTTAATTAAATAAAGATTATTAAATGCATTACTATCATTAGTATAAAAAATTAGGGTTCACTATCTTTGAAAACCTAACAACAAGAAAAAAAAGAAGATTGGTTAAGTATTTTATTTCTTGTTTTTCATGTTGATTCTTTATGTATAATTATTAAAAACTAAAATGTAACAAGGTATTTTTGACTTTTTCAAAGTACCAAATACAGGCCCATTATATTTTCAAGTTTTTGACCACAAGTATACTTGAGATAAATTAACCTATGAAAAAGTTTCACTATCTTTTTTAGTGTCCAATTATATGACAATCACTGTGTAGTTTACTGGGACTGCATCATGAGAATAAATGGTCCAGGGTGACTGAATGTGGCCCTGTGTTCTGAGGAGAAGTAGTTTATTTTCAGCTATACTACAAGATTCAGTTTATATCATACTAATTTATTGGAAAGAATTGTCATATGGTTTATAAAATTAGTAATTTACAGAATCCCAAGTTAATTCAAGTTTTTTTTCCCAGAGAAAAAATGAAACACTGAAGTGTGTGTGTGTGTGTATGAAGATATATTTTATCTTCAATGAATTATAACAACATTCCTATTTTGCTTTAAAATTCTGATGAACTGGATGTGTTTTGGTTACTAACTTATGTATATCTGTATAACAAAACAAAGACAAAATAACTTAAATCACTCATTATAGGCACGAAAGAAACGTTAAGTAAAAAATCATCCAAACCATTTATAGGATTTAGATATTATGCTCTCTTGCAAACGAACACATATACACACACACACACACACACATTATATATATATATATATATATATATATATATATGAATTTTGTTGAGAATGCATAAAAAAACCATAAGCTTGTTCCAATGTGAAAATTTCAACAACAGAAATTTAATTTTTAACAGGAAAGAGAATGTATTCAGTTCACTTTCCTACCTAAAACTGGAAGTTTAATTTATTTTGTATAGTATGGTCATATGTATTCTTAGATACCAACAGATAACCCTAAATTCCAAATTCTTTAGAAAATTGTATAGTAGTATAGCTTATCCAAGTAGGACATTGAAACACAATGAGAACACAAACATATATACAGACAACAAATTAACTGTGTGTTCATTGATACTATTATTTCTAGTGCAATAAAAAACATGATTTTATAACACCAGCAATATTTCTTATTTTATAATGACTTCATTTTTTATCATTGGTCATGATGTATACCCGAAAAAAATGTAGTAGCAATGATACAGTAAGTTCCTCTATATTTGACTGAGCATGTGACCTTTTTGTACTTGTTAAGTCTTTATAGATTTAATACTTCTAACTTTCAATATTGTGTGTGTATATATTTTCACAAAGTAATTTTCATGTTAAAATTAAAAATACTTTTCCTCATCTGAAAAATTTCAAATTTGCTTTGAGTTATCCCTAAAACCTCCTAAATGCATTTCAAATGTACACTTTTCAGTAAAACTTTATAGTTTATCTGTTATCTTCTCTACCCTACATCAATTTGACCGACCTCATAACCAAAAAAAAAATTGAAATAAGTCTAAATTACCCTTTTTTTTCTTTCTAGAATGACTTCAAATTGTAACATGAAACTACATTTGTTTATCCTAAATAGTTTTAAGTTCATAACAGTATACATCTATTTATAATTAAATTTTATTGCCCTTTGAAAAGTGTCTAACTACTATCCGTGCCATTACAAATTGTCAATCACTCAACGAACATACAGCTCACGTTACAATAATGAATTACGTTACCCACGAGTTATTATGAGCTGCTCGCACGTGTGCCTTGTGAAACATATTTATTATATTATTATTTATTTTACCTAATCTAATCTTAACTAACCTAAAAAGATCCCTATTTTTACATTTTAGTAACTTTTATAATTATATATAAAGAATAAACATGAAAAACAAGAAATAAAATACTTAATAAAGTCCTTAACCAATCTTCTTTTCTTGCTGTTCATTGTCGAAGAGAGTTAACTCTAACTTTTTATACTAATGGTAGTAATGCATTTAATAATTTTTATTTGATTAAATAATGTACCAAAAATATAGACTAATAACATGCAAAAAGTAGACAAATTCCTTTACCTCTCAAAATTTTTCTGGTTTTCTAACTATGCAAAAAGAGCTGTTACAAGGTTCATCTAAGATAGTCATGGCTGGAGACGGCTTAAATGGGTA